GTAACCCGTAAAAGATGAGTGAGCAATTAGTAACTAAGTTTAAAGTTCAGTGAGCATTGGTTAAATTTACTCGATTTTTATGTAATGCCCTGTTTCTTGATAAGATCGAAAAGTAAATTCTAGGATTGACTTTCGGGAAAATTGCAGTAGCAGTGCTTACCTTTTTTCAATTTTTGCAAATTTTATTCTAACCTTCATTTTGAGCTAGCGAAAGTTCCAAACCTTTCATAAATATGCACCTGAAGTTCATCTCGATGGAAACCGTTCAAAACATCAACAGTGAAACAGGAAAATTAAGAAATCAACATCTAATAAAACCACCCAAAATGTATCGACATTCAATAAAATCGTGCAAATAATTCAATGAAATTTACAGGTCAACTAACTAGTTTTTTACAGTTTCTATCCAGATGAACCTTATGTGTATATTTATGAAATGTTAGGGACCTTCGCTAGAACAACGTGAAGGTTATAGTAAAGTCTGTAAAAACTGAAAAGATCAAGAACCGTTGCTGCAATTTTCCCTTGATACGTAGGAGTGCGTTTTGGGAGAATTACGGTCATGGTACAAGACTTTTTATTTAGTTACATGTTTGACTCAAACCTTTCATTTGTACTATTTACAATATTAAACATTTCAGAAATTCTCACTTGGAGTTCAAACGAGTGGTTTTCGTTAGTTTGACCATTAGTTGATCGCAAAAAATAATTTTGACCAAATTTACAAAGGGCAAAATGGTAAATTAACTATTTTTCACATAAAATAATTAAAAAACAAAAGTTCAAAAAATAAAATAAAACTATCATCTTCTTCCCACTCTACCTACCGCTAAATCTTTATTAGAAAAATTCATCTTGCCATCCAACTCTCACGACCAATTCCCTCACAGTCGGTACCCACCCCACCATCGTCACCCCACTTCAGATTGTGCATTCATATCTTCACATACTCCCTTTTCCACACTATACCTTCATCATCATCGCAAGCTTCCTTTCATACCATTCCGAATTAAAAACAACACAATTTCACCTGAATTCATATCCTTCGCCGTCGAAACAAAAAATAACAAATTCCAAAAAAATTCAATTACAGCTGTCAATCGCCATCGCCTCAACCTCCAGCCCTAACACCGTCTTATAACCAACCACCACCACTACCTAAAAACCAGAAGCTTCCTCAAGCATTCGAAGAATTTTGAACCTTAAGCTCCCTCAAGCAATCGAACTTTCACGCCATTGCCACCATCTAATTACCACCTCCACCATTGTCCTTTCTCACCATCATCACCTTCATTCACTAGAACCACCATTTATGTCACAATTTTCCCTTTGTTTTTCTGAATAGTTTGGGGTTAGGATGTGTAAAAAAAAAAAAATGGTCATCAAACTCTTTGTCTTTGTTTCAGTCACATTATTTTCGTAAGAATGCATTTTTGAATAGTGTATTAATGAAAAATGTGTAATTAAAAAATAAGAGAATGTTTTGAATTTGCGTGTAATATTATTTTATTGAAAATTGTATGGTTAAAATAATGTCAAATCACCGTTTAAGAATGTACTTTTTGAAAGAATGTATCTCAAACGGGGCCTTTGTCTATATTTAATTGATTCATTATCTATTTTTTAAAATTTTATTTTAATTGTATTTCTCTTAATAAATTAATTTTGCCTGTAAATTTAATTTTTTTATATTTTTTAATCATACATTCGATAAAAAACAATCACTATTACGAAAATTTTTGAACCTTAAGCTCCCTCAAGCAATCGAACTTTCACGCCATTGCCACCATCTAATTACCACCTCCACCATTGTCCTTTCTCACCATCATCACCTTCATTCACTAGAACCACCATTTATGTCACAATTTTCCCTTTGTTTTTCTGAATAGTTTGGGGTTAGGATGTGTAAAAAAAAAAAAATGGTCATCAAACTCTTTGTCTTTGTTTCAGTCACATTATTTTCGTAAGAATGCATTTTTGAATAGTGTATTAATGAAAAATGTGTAATTAAAAAATAAGAGAATGTTTTGAATTTGCGTGTAATATTATTTTATTGAAAATTGTATGGTTAAAATAATGTCAAATCACCGTTTAAGAATGTACTTTTTGAAAGAATGTATCTCAAACGGGGCCTTTGTCTATATTTAATTGATTCATTATCTATTTTTTAAAATTTTATTTTAATTGTATTTCTCTTAATAAATTAATTTTGCCTGTAAATTTAATTTTTTTATATTTTTTAATCATACATTCGATAAAAAAAAAAAAATCACTATTACGAAAATTATCTTTCGGGAAAACAAAAAAAAAAAAGGAACACAAATAGAGCCTTAGCCTATATTTGGCCCCCAATTTTTTCAAAAACTTAGGGTGCATTTGGTTTGCAATTTTTGTTTTTTAGTTTTGAATTCATTTTCCATTTTCTGGTTTAAGATAATATTTTGAAATTGTAGAAATGAGTTTGATTTGTCATTCGAAAAAAACTGTTTTTCAAAACAAAAAACTAAAAAACGTGTTTGGTTTAAAAAATTTATAAATAATTTTATGACTTTTTTTTTTCAATTAATTTGATTATTTAGTAAAACATATCAATTTTATGTTAAAATGTGATAAAAAAAATTAAAATTTTAAAGTTGGTAAAAAAAAGGAATCATTGTAAGTATATCTCTAACAATCGCATCAAAATCATCTATACAAAATAAATCATTGTCACTTGTATTATTTATGCACTTATATAATAAAATCATTATTGATGAAGTATTTGGATATGTTTTGTGTGATTTTAGTAATTATTTTAATTTGAGAAATTTTTAAGTTAATTTTTCTTGTGGTGTTTTCATGGCACAACACTCAAAGCTTCAAAAAGTCATTTTGAACTTTATGCTCTAAAATTTTCCTTACTTTCAAAAAATAAAAAATAAAAAATGTATTTTTTTAAAATAACATACCAAACACATTTTGAATGTTTTAGAAAATTGAAAACTAAAAATGGCCTCAAAACAACAAATCAAACTCACTTTAATTTTTTCAAAACTTATTTTCAACTACACATTCTTACATAAAATAATTTGTAATCAAAATTTTCCTTCTTTTTTAACTATACATTTTCAAAAAGTCACTACTCCAAAATACATTTTCTTACTAAAATGCGGCTCAAACAGGGGCTCAATAAAAATTGATAAAATATATGATTAAAAAATTGATGAAGTTTTTAATATCATATAAAACGTTGTTAAAATTAATTATTAACTTAAATTTTAATATTTATACGGCTGTTACTCTGCTTGTTTGCAAATAGCACAATATCCACTATTTACTTCGAATACTTTGATTTCTTCAAAATAACATGCCAGAGGCACAAACTGACCAGATAAGACCTAGAGCACATCACAAGTAGAAGGGATGAGATGACCGTCGCTCACAAACTTTAGAATTACACAGCAAGGTTGACTTGTCCTCAAAAACTAGCACAGTAGTCCCAAGGCGCCAATTCTAGTTTCCAAGCTGGTGTAAGGTCATCTTCAACGTTGCATCAAACTAAAATTCATCTTCAATCATTATACTAAAGCTTACACCAAATGAATAGTATTTTAATCATTTTCCCTTATTTTATTCTTTATATAATTTATTTATTTACTTATTTTATAAATACATAAATTACTAAATAAATAATTACGTTAAATTATGGAAAAGATTAAATTTATTAATAAATATAAAAAAACATAGTACAATTAATAAAAACACTACATCAACGAAAATACCAAATCGTGCCATCACAAAATAGTACAATACATTTCGAATTTGAATATTACAATATTACGAAGTCGTAAAATTTTTGCAATTTAATTCTCGAAATTCATATGTTTTTCCCAAAAATGATCGATTAATGCATTTCGAAGTGCAATGTGAGCCTCTTTATCCTTGATTTGTCTATTACAATCAAGGAATTCTTGAAAATGTTGATTTTCGTCTTCAACCAACTCAACTTTCACACTTGGCGCTTTCGTCCATTCTCGAACTTTTTGTCCCATTTTTTTATTTTTTTTTTATTTTTTACATTTTCAAAATTTCACGTTATGCTATTATTAGAGAATAAAATACAAATTCAAAATGAGTTTTTAACGAGTGAATTGTTTAAAAATAAAATTATTTTTAATCTTTTTTTCCCTATACGGGGCGGGTTCGAGGGGGGGCATCCTCAACCCGCTAACCTGTTTGAGGCGAGACAGGTTTTTTTGACATCTCTCATCAACATTACGTTCGTCCAACCTACGTTTGTTCTTGCAAAACGGACAAGCAATAATTTTACAGAAGAGATCTCAACAACAAGATAAATGATCTAAAAGTTCATCTGGTTTGTTTGAAAATTATTTTGACAATATTGAAGGATCTGGAAGCGATCTTCTAGATTACTAAACTATGTACTTTTTATGTATCGTTTTCTTTAAATAAAATTAGATTATCGTATGTATATCGTCGTTTAATATATTTCGTGTTAACTTTAATAAATAATCGTTTTTGTTATATTTTATTATTTCCTTCTTTTAACTAATTCATTAATTATTATTTCTTACATTTAAAATTTATTTTAAATGCAAATAATAATAATAATAATAAATATAATAATAATAATTTATTATATTAAAAAAAATATAGCACAAATGACAAAAATACCCTTAACCAATTTATTTGGAAAATAATAAAAATGGCAAAAGAGACTTTATACACTTTACACCATTTTTGTGCCAAAATGGTGCAAAATATAGTGTTGTATTGGAGTTCCTTTGCACCAAAAAGGTGCATTTTGGTGTTTTGATACTCACATTGGAGATGGCCTAACAACATAATGCAATCAAAATACACCTTTTCCTTATTGTTTTTTTTGTTTGTTTTTCGACACATCTAGAACTCAGCAATCTTGAGATTACCCATTATTAGAATTTATTGAATGACACAACAATGTATTAAACTCCATGAAGGAGAAGATGTATTACACTCCATGAAAGGAGAAAATGAACACTCCATTATAGAAGGCAGAAAAACACTCCATGAAGGAGGAGAGAAACCTCCATGGAAGGAGGGATTGGAAGACACTACAATCCAATGATCTAAAAATGCCTACACGGTGCTGTATTTGTAGAGTAAAATCTAACAATCTATCAAACTAATATCTAACTACATAACAGACGGCTGAACTCATCTTGAAGTCTCTAGAATGTGGTGAGCTGGAAGGAATATTCTATTCTAACACTCATCCTATATTTTTTATCACTTCAAAGACATTCTCAAATGTACACGAGTGATTATGGGTAATCTTGTATAAAGAAAATAAGTTACAAAGATGTTCTTACATTACCACACGAACATATGTAGAATTCCTCTCTCTCTCTCAGATATCAACTAATTTAACAATATCGTGAAAATCAAAAAACCGAAGTTCACACAATCAGAGAGGTTATAGAGGGCCAAAAGGTTCTGGTAGAGGTTCGAATCCGTTATCAAAGATGGATTCCTGGTCTGACTTGTCGTCAAGACTGCACAGCCAGTTGGTGTTCTTCAAATCCTCTTTGAGGAGAATCATGTCATAACGGGAACTTTCATAAACATCAATATTTGTCAGTTTTGCAGAAGATTGAGACTTGTCTTCTTCACTTCCACTTTCTGAAGACCTATTAAAATGATACCCATTTTCGGTAATGGCGCCGTTATTCTTGACAGGCAGGCTTCCATTGACTGATGCTTTTGCACTTAAATGGTGATTGGATGAGCTTTTGTGGTTGGTGGATCGAATGCTTTGAGGAAAAACAGTCGAGCCTGTAAGAGGACGAACACCATTGGTGCCATTTCGTATATCCTGCAAAATAAGTGGGAAGATCTTTGAGATTGATAAAACATGGAAAATAATAGGAAGAGGTTCAGTGTTCATAATGATTAGAAGTGGTACACAATAATTTGAAGTTCATAATGCATTAAAGCGCATTTATTCTGCCCCAGGTAGAATCTACCATGTTTAATACGACACAAGGGCACTCAAGGGCTTAATGGCACGAAGGTCCAGTCACTATATAAAAGCATTAAAGTTGATCCGAGAAACAAAGGCCAGGAGATTTTCTATTGGGTAAGTGAAGAAAATACGACTACTACTGACCTCCACTTCGAACCCCCAAAGTGTGTGTGAGGGAGAAAGAGAGAGAGAGAGAGCATGGACGCCCAGCACTGACGTTTATGATCTGGGATGTTCTAGTTGGAGTTAATCATGCAAGGGTGAAAAAATTGTATTGTCATGCTGTGTCAATTTAACCAAGTCTGTAGCATGAAGCGAATATTCTTGATGCATAGATTACAGAGTTTGAGTGAATTAACAAAATTGCCGGTTCGTAGAAATAAAATGCCATCAAACCTTAGTTTAATGATGAATGAAATTGATTGATTTGAGGCTTTTCTTTAGTGGTTAATTACACGATGACACAGAAGCTACATGTTTCTGGAGATGCAATACTTAAACCTTTCATTGCTATATAACGTATAAAGAAACCACGAAAAGTTAAAATATAGGCTAGACTTACCATATGCCTAGTAGCCACATCCAGAGATTTTTTTGATATGGTCCGGCCAAACCCTGTGCTCTCTGTGAATGTCTTCAAAGGTTTCCGTGTCGAAAGCTCTCTGCGAGCGTCAATTGCATCACTCAGCTGCCCACTGGCAGGCATTCGACCCCTTCCAATGGGTTCTGAATGTCTTCCCCTGGAAATCACAGGTGATGGTTGTCTGCAAACTGAAGTTGAAGTACTTGTGGACTCTACATTCCCTTTTACGGTGAGACCCACAGCAGGCCTGGATCTACCAGCTGATAGTGGTCTGTTTGGCAAAGTTGTCAGCAAGTTTGGTGGTGTTTCGAGTGAAAAATCAGGGAGGGCAATTGACTGTGGAGGGGCGCGGACACGTGGAACAGGGGAGCTAGGACGGGACACTGAAGCAACATTTCGACCATTTGGGATGGTAGCACGCCCACTTGAGGCCAAAGGTCCAGAGGCTGGAGATAGAGATGGTGCTGGGCTTCGACGAGTTGGTGTTGATGGCCTTGATGAGGACCGAACAGCAGGGGAACTCAAGTTCGTTGGAACTTGTGGCCTAGAAGTGGGTGTAGAAGGTCGTGAGCTTACGGACGGTCTCAGTTTATCAGAGGAAGATGTGCTGGGGGAAGCACGAGGTTTAGAAGGAGTTGAAGGTCTTGAGGCTGTTGGATGGGTTGAAGGTGTCGAAGGTCTTGTAATTGATGAAGTGCGGCTGCTAGGAGTAGATGGTCTAATATATGACAAGACTGAAGCAGAGCTTGTGTTAAGAATGGAGGTTGATTTGTTCGAGTTCATTGTAAATTGGGAACTAGAGGTAGAAGGACGAGTCACTGAACTGCTGCGAGACGGTCTTGCAGGATGGTTGCTCTCTGACTGAGAAACCGAAAGCTGGAATTGGAAACCCATATACTTATGAATGATAGGCATAAGGCATTTGAAAGTAACTTCTCTTGATCATGGATTATTTTGTTCACTTAAGGCAGGTAAACCGGACAGGAACAAAATATCAGTCCAAGTTTTCTCATTACAAGTTGCAATTATTGAATTATACAAATACAACTAAATGAGAAACTGCATGATTTGCTTTATTTCAACCCAGAAATTACGAAAAATAGAGAGCAATTTATCTTGGAAGATCTACTAGTCAGCAATAGAAAATAGTTGGACATACCCTTGACACTCTGGTTGTAGAGGTTGATCTAACCCTTGAACTGCTTCTTGGAGCCACAAAAGCTCGTTGAGATTCATTTCTATCCGTCGAAGGAACAATAGGAGTTCCAGGAGGAGTAAGAAGCCTATAACAAATGACGGTTGTAATTTTTTAGGTCATATTACAGCTTAGTTCTTTTTTCAAACAATTAACTTTCTTTAAAACAAATTTATGTGCATTATTGCCATAATAAGTGTCACAAACCTCTAAAAGGCAAGTGAATTTTATCATTGACCTCTGGTGTACAACTATATCTTTAGCTAGATTATTATGACATACAGAACTTTACTGGTGATTTGTCTTTCCTTGACAAAGTGTAATATTTAATTTTACTTACTGGCCATGGACAATAACAAATCTGTAATAGTGATGAGCAGTGACAATAGCCAAGAAATAGCATTCAAGCAATTATGGCTAAGCAGGCTTCAAGCCAAAAATAGAAACGATCCTTGAAAATTCACGTAAGAAAGATAAACAATTGCAGGATTACCAATCATAATCATGCTTTCCACCGCCATCCGCTGACGACAATAGATCATCCAATCCACTCTTTCCCTGTTTTGCTGATCCAACTGAGAGTCTCCCCAGTTTCACCGGTACTAAACTTGGAAGGCATCCCAAAATTATTAAATTTTATAAAAATTAATAAATAATGAGAATAGAAGAAGAAAGTATGAATGTTTTTTTCGAGGGATAACTAACAACGGATAAATATCGTCATATTTATACCTTTAGGCGTTAGACTTGTTTTCAACGTTAAAAGATCAACTTATCAAAAAGAGTATTCCAAATCCTTAAAAATCGGTTTATGTTTTGATCTTTATTCGATTTAAGATTATATTCCTTAATAATATGCACATACTACAGAAAGTGAGAGCAATACCATCGGAATTATTGGAGGCAGCCACGGGCAGACTGTGGCGATTCTTGGAGAAGAGATCCAAGTTATTGTCGGTGGAGTTCTTGGAGTTGGAGAGTCCGTTTAGGCTGAGACCTCGCCGATGCCGAGACAACGACGCCAGAGTAATATTCCGTTCGTCGCCCATCGCAGATTCCCTGAAGCTCCGGTTCATCTTCAGTTGAATAGTTACGAGAATCACATTGCAAATCCCATCTTCAGTGCTCCATAACGATTAAGCTACTGTAATAGATTACTGCACTAAAAGTGGCAAGCTGTGGATGATCAGAGCAACACAATGGAAGTGCAAATGGATTCACGGATGCAAATTATACACCATTGAATCATGACTGTGCGACTGTTTGTGTGGATTGGATCTGTTTGTATTGAGTGAGTTGTATGTATCATAAAGGAAGATGAGCAGTGTGAAGACAGGCAAAGGCATGTGAGGAAACTGACGCCGTGGTGATTACTCTCTTTCTTCTAATCATGTTTTCTTTCTTTGCTAATTTTTATTAATTACTCATAAATAATTACGACTTTTTAATGATCTAAATCAATATTAAAGTAAATTTTCACTTATAAGCAGAAAAGAACAGTACATTCAAATAGATCTTGACTCTTAATTATGTACATATCATTTCAGGTTTGCATAATTACATTTATTTATTTGGATAATATGCTGCCTGGTTAGATAATTATGGCCATTTCTTATGATCCATTTTATCAGTCAAGGCTTTATTGATTTATTATATGGACGCTAAAGAGAGGAGTATTACTAGTAAAAGCGAATTTACATTAAAATAGAACGAACGTCACGATTAGTTGAGTAGTGATCGAACAATTATTTATAGTTGTAAAATGTTAGAATTACGTAAAAGTTTTGATCATTAAAGTAGAATCTCTATTTTTAATTAAATTTAAGTGTGATTTGACTAAAGCCCTGTTCGATAGGGATTTTGAGAATTGAGTTGGAGAAAAGTGAGGGTCATTTGGGAGAGAAAAAATCAAAAATTATGATTGAAATAGTGAAATAACGATTAAAAAAAATCAATTTTTTGAGGTGAAAAATCACTCCCAAACACCTTCTAAGTAAAGTAAAAAGTAACTTTTTCTTTATATACTTGAGGTTTGTTAGAATTAATTTTTGTTATTATTTATATTAGGATTTTTTAGTTCAACATTATTTGTAAAGAATATATTTTGAAATAGTATATTGATAGAGAATGTGTGATTAAAAAATAAGGTAACGTTTTGAATTTACATATAACATTATTTTATTAAAAATGTGAGATTGAAATAATGTCTAATTACTGTTTAAAAATGTATTCTTTTTAAAAAAATGAGGTTCAAAAAGGCCTAGATTATAATATTAGATTTTCTTAATTACTAGGTAAGAATAAGGTAAATTAGGTTATCAATCGCCACGTGTCTGAGATTAATATAATTGAAGTGACGTTCCAACTGCCTTACCTTCCCAATATTGCATATTATTTATCACCTCGTAATTTTCAATTAATAATTCCATTGACCTTCTAACTAAGCTGATTGTATTTTTCGTTGTTGGAAAGAGTGTGAAATTTGCATCTGACAATGATACTTTTATCAGTAATTTAATAATTTTATTTTAATTTTGTTCAATAGAATGATTTATTTTATTACGATTCTAATTGGAAAATCACACTTTAATTTGATTTTATTGAATAGCTATAATTTAATTTGATTGCAATTAAAATAATGTCCAATTTCACTAACGATAATAGATAACGAGCCAATCAATCAACGATGATTATCGTACATCACTTTTTGTCGTTGACGTGAAATAAATACAATTTAATTAAATTAAATGTCAGAGATCATTTTATTTTTTTTTGACTAATAGTCATCTATTTTTGTCAATTCAATTAACGAAATTCCTGGGAGTTACTTGATTGAAATCAAATTAATTGTTGTTACTCGACTGAATAAAATTAAAATATAGTTAGCTGATTGAACTAGAGTGAAAATAATTAAAATGCCTCAAAAGTTAAGTTTGAAAAATAATAATAAATAAATAAACGGGTCTTGTATTTTTTCCCGTTGGCTTCTTTCTGACCTCTCATTATTCTCATTTTCCACTGTATCTATCCCAAAAATCGGTTGCTTAAGGATTAAGTACACATCTAATCTAATCAACGTTGCTTAAGATGGAAAAGTGATATCGTTTACTTGTCCTGTTGCGATATTAAGGATGTTGGCTCAACTAGTGACCGTGCTGTCGTTTTCAAAACTAAGATCTCTACGAAATAAATGTTCTCTCTCTCAATCAACGAACACAGAAGAAAATGACGTATATGAAAATTTTTATGGGCCAGCATTAATTGAAATAATGCGACACTTTAAAATTGACATATAATACATGTAATATACTGCTATTTTTCATTTCGATTTGATGTCTTTTTATTTCTTGTTTTCTCTGAGCTCAATTTCCGTGCTAAAACATTAGTGTATTTAGTATTATAGGATAGTCCACTTAAATGGTTTCCATAAATTTTCATTTAATTAAAGTTTAGGTGGATTTAATTATTTTAATCATATAATATCAAGTAGATCGATATTCTAGCGTCATCATTGGATTTAATTCATTCTTTATATATAATTTAAACATGGGATGAAAACTATCAACCGAACTGTTTAACTTTAAACTTTCTATGAATTGATCGGATTTTTTTATTTGAAAAAAACAAAAAAAAATTGTTAGGAGGCCACTAAACCTGGATATATACGTTGTTATAAATATTCTTGATACCAGAGAAATTTGATATCTTAATTGTTAGTACTTTTATGAGTAATTTATAAAGACCTCCCTCGAGGTTTATTTCAATATCAAGCCGTTGCCATTTTAAAGAAACATCTTCTCTAAGCTTAAATTTCTTGTTACATCTCATTCAACGAGGCTCTAAAAATAGGTTACGTGACAACCACGTCACAAGTGAACTTGGGCCTACACTCTCCGTCAGCATCTTACCTGACCTATCCAAGGCCCATGATAGTTGAAGTGATACACCTCATCAAATCATCATTAAGATGTCGAATCCTCTATGGATGAAACAAGGCAATATGATCGCTGCAGCACTAATATGAAGCGAAGATGTTTCAAATACACGAGGATATCGTATGCATTCAACTCTCCTAGAAGATCCTCCATAAAATATCTTCTGCAATTGATTGATGTGACATTTTCATAGTAGGCATCCTATCAATCAAGTTATTACTCTACTTTTCAGAAATCAGGTCTAGGCTATAAAGTGGCTATTTTTTGAAATCATTAAACCCCTGTATGAACTCCATTATTTAAAAGTTTATTTTTCGTTGAACTTATTTCAATTATGCATTCTTCCATTAAAACAATTTACACGTAAACCCAAAAAATTCTCGTACTCCCTAACCATACAATCTTTAAAAAATCACTATTACAAAATTCATTTTTATATGAAATAGAAGTTAAATGACCCTGAAGCTAGGATGACGAAGTAATGTCTATGGTCAGGCACTTCAAATGCTAAGCTGAGGTTGTGTGTCGTTTCATCCAACAATAACTACTCTACCTCTTCCATTATAAAAATTAATAATTAGTGTCATTTGAAGGTAATGTAAATTTATACATTTTATAGTAATATTGCTCACTCGTTATTCTCTATACGTGCTTTTGACAGTGTCCAAAATTGCAAGAGCTATATGTGTGGACATAAGTAGAGCCAAAATCTATTGGTCACGTAAACCAATCAAAAATCGAGGTCAACATTTCTCATACTTTCCCTTTAATGCTTTACATATGATTATAGTTGTTTTCCTTTTCTTTTTCTTTTTTTAATTTTAATTTTATCTTTCTGTACATAATAATACAATATCATATTATTATGAATTTTGATTTCTCATTTAAAAATGAATAAATCAATCTTGATCTAAAATATTTACTGAAAAATGAACTAAAAAGGAATTTAAGCTAAAAACTTTTGATGCCATTTTTTTTTTGCATATTTAATGTTATATTAGTATTAATTAATTATTTATTATTAATATGGTATAAATGTCAAGAATATAAAAAAATTAGAGAAAATGTTTTTAAATCTAGCAATATAAGAATAAGATATATAGATTAGAATTTTCAATTAGCTATATTATAATATCTGAAACAATTATGTACATTGACTTGTTAATTATTTGAAAATCAAATTTTTTTTAAAAAAAAAATCACATTTTAGAATTTTAGAATTTTATAACAGTAATTATAATGATGTAATTTTAACTAAAGTGCTCTCATCAAATCAAAATTATGAAAAGTATATTTTTATAAATAAAAGAAAGAAAAAAGTATAACTTAAATATAATAAAATAAAAATTTCAAAATAGTAAAAAAAATAAAAATAAATAACATCTATCTTTTATCTGTCACCAAAAGTAAATCTCATGGGATGTTTTCTGAAATTTTTTAAATTGCAGCAAGGTTTATATAATTATCATAAACTTCAAGAAAATTTATGTAATTTGCTCAGATTTTATTAATAAATAGTGAGGTCAAGCAAAAAAAAAAAAAAAAAAGGTTTAAAGACTGCGTATCAAACAAGAATGCTTCATATAGTATCGATCTTGACTATAGATGGTAATTGGTATAGAAAACTAGTCTAGGGCCCGGCTTAAGTAATTACCTCATAATATATAGTAGATTTCATATAAAGTAGACTTAAGATCCCGAAAATATCAAGACTAGCCATGGCTCTAGAACTAGAGACCGCCACTCACTATTGTCACAACAACCAAATTGAAGTAGACAAATTATCAGTAAAAGTTTTTATCAAGAAAAATAATTTGTAATTTTTAAATAGAACAAAAAGAAGAATATTAGAGTAATTGATTCAATGAAGTGCGTTGTATGTAGAGGATTACAATTTCTGCTCAAATTCTACGTTCCAGCTTCTTCTTTCTTCTTTGAAGTAAGACCTCTATTATGTAAAGATATAGCCTCAAATAACATGATTGGTTCGAAAAGTTTGACTAAGCTCATAAAAATTTATAGAAAGGAATAAGTAAATTTCATATACACGATATATTTGTTAGTCAAAGATGAAAACAATTAATAGACTTATTTAGTAAGTAAAAATACTATGTACAATTTGTAAAAAATATGTGATGTTTCACTTGTAAGATAACAATCGCACATACCAATGTGTCCAAAAAATAATCACACGTTCCCTCTAGGGCTTAAAAGCTAACTAATTAGTGGGCATACAATGAACGACCCTGTTGCTTGAACAAACCTAGCTAGACGTTTGGGGGGTTGTTCAAGGGGCTTTTCCCTTCGATGAACACACAAATCACAATTACTTGGCACATGCGTGGAGCCAAAGGCTGGCTGTCGTCATGGAGTTCACCACCTTGTTCTTCGTTCTCCTTCAAATCTCGGCCTTTTCATGGCTGAGGGACGAAAGGCTATTGGTTCGACTATTTA